TAAATATTGATAAACGTCAAAATTTTAGGGGAAATAAACAATAAATATATTAATACTGTATTTTATCACAACTACATATTTATAGATTTTTTGTTATACGTATAATATATATAGATGTCTATTATGAATGTAAAATCAAACCCGGTAATTTGGGGCTTAGTAGATTCACAAAGGCTTTCACGTTGTAACTCAAACTTATAATCACTGGTTAGAATGCATGATAAGTAATCGAGTATTGACATCAAACAACAGATCAAGGGATTGCACTACCCACCTGTGCAATGTTTGTTTCGTTGAATTGATTGGTCTTTAAGGTTTATATGTAAAAAGAAAATAGCATAGGTTTGAGTTTTAAATTTGTTCGGAACATCGATAAATGTAAACCCCCGAATTCAAAAATTTCAAACTGACCAATTCGGGTTTGGTTTACGTCCTAACGTCCATGGGTGTAATAATAACGGAGATTTATTTCGTGGGATAGAACCCTTGGCACTTTCCTGGATAGGTAGTCCACATTTTTTTATATCGATAATATATCATAAAACTTATAACAGTTTTAGCATATAAATATTGGTCATTCGATCTAGCGCTAGAAATGAGTCGGGATCTACTAGACCGAAAATTTTTAAATATCATATTATGAATGAGTTAAAAAATGAAATACATACGTACGTGCGTACTTATGTACATACGTATTTATAAAACCAATAAACACATGGATATTAACCTAAAGAATATTTATTAATAAAATCTGAAATAAAATTACAAGAAAGCACGAATTGCATCGAAAAATCTGTTACAAACCTAAAACCAAGAAATTTCTTGTTGGTTGTAACGAAATACATTATTTAAAAACATAGGAATCAAAATAGTAACAAATGGTAATTAGAAAAAAAACTGTCGTTACACAAATTAGTAGGATATAATAAATATTATTATGATTTTATTTTACAAAATTATTTGAGTTACATAAATTTAATTTATATAATCAAGTTATATTCGAATTTTTTTTTCCAGTAAATTAGATTTCATGTAATAAATGCAAAATACCGCATTAAAAGTTTAGCAAAGTATTATTGTAATTTACATCAATATATAACTTATCCTTTAACGTTAAACCATCTTGCAGACAAATTTGTTTGCAGCATATTTAAGCTTCACGATGATAGTGTGACGGTTTAAGTGATAGTTACATAAACTTGGACAAAAATTATACGCAGTCATATCATATATTATGTCGATATAACATAAAAGATTACATTATACATATAATTATATATGAATTAATTATTATTAATTAATCATTAATTAATTGATACAGTAAATAAATTAAAAAGCTTATTATGTAGCGCATTTCCGATTTTGTTATAAATTTAGTTAAACATCGCACTTAATGCTAATAATTAATTGCACAGGGATTTCAGCAGATTGCATATGATAATACATATATACATATATACAGTATGAACATCCCTGACAAGAATACTTGCGCCCAAACCATTCCAAAATGATTTTTTCCTGGCTTTGCAAATCTAATGAATTTTTAATTATGTATTCTCCTTTTTTTTTCTGGTTTAATCGTGAATATTCTATGTGACATCAATGCCTATTGAAGGAGCGTGATGACTTCATAATTTTTTTTTAACACATTAATATTTTATTATCAAAACTGGCTTGTCCCTTAATAATATTAATTAATAAAGTTAATAAAAAAATCCTTACTTCTCTTTCTTTGAGGGGCTAAACAATTAATGCTACAATTTATCCATTTAAGCAAATTTATTACATTCAAACATGAAGTTAATTTTAGAACTCAGGTTTAGAACTCAATTTTAAGATATAATATGTATCATGAAATGTAAAAATCTTAACCGAGATTTATAAAGTTCATTATATTAAATAAATATTTACTATTCTAAAAATTTATAATCCTATAAATTTCAATAGCGAACTTTCAAGACTAAATGATCTTTTAGGGGTTTAGTTTGTTAACAGATCTTTTAATCTCATGATAAATGAATGATGTCAAGAAGAACATAGATTGTTAGGGTTTTTCCTTAATTATATTCAAATGTATAATTTATTATAAATTGGGGGGTTTTTTTTACTGAATGTTATTAACGTTAATATAAATAATTTTACATCGTTATCTCATGATAACGATAAATGAATGATGCAAGAAAAACGTGGAATAGATTTTCAGGTTTCTCTTGATAACACTCAGATGTATAATTTTTACTGTATGTTAATATATAAATTACTGTATATTATGCAAAATAAAACATGAATGATAATTTCCGTGATCTCACAAATGTATTAATGTATGTTTGTTAATATAATATATATTAATATATATTAATATATATACAGTAAATATATTACATCGTTATCGTTATTTGTTTTTCAACAATATAGTTTGCCAGCTATTGTAAACATATACAGGTCAATGATTAAAAAGCCATAAAATCTTGTTATCACGTCGTATCATTTTTTATTATACGTGTCATAATAAGAATTGATATCTCCATGACGCAATTGATAATTTTTTTTTTATAACATATTTCATCTCATAACCTTAATAGAGTTTCATTGTAGAAATTTTATGACTTAATAAGATTTGCTTTAAACGCCCGAAACGTGATATTTTTATCATCATCATTCTAAAGAAAGAAATTCCGAGATTATATTTTTGATCTACTCTGATGAACAATTTAGGATCATAAACGCTCGCTTTTCGTGAAGATTTGCTAAATTCAAAAAATATATATTTATTATTATTATTATTATTATTATTATTATTATCGAAAAACGGAGAATATTCTATTCAATTTTACATATGTATTTACAATGTATAACGCTGTACAAAAATATTGATGGTCAGATTGAGTTCTAATCACAAATATTTGCCCTTCATTTACTGGCAAAATAAAAAATAAAAAAAAAAACAATTATGCATTTTATTATTTGTCGTTAATTTATGAATAATAAATAATAATATATATATATTAACATTATATGCAAGCTCTTTCATTTGACAATTTATACCCAATAATAGTGCTTTATTATCTAAGAATTAAATTATCTTAATCGACATACCTAAACTGATGTACCTAAAATTAATGTACGTACGTACGTACGTACCTAAAATTAATGTACGTACGTACGTACGTACCTAAAATCAATGTACGACGTACCTAAAATTAATGTACCTACTGTAAATCGATGTATATTTCTAAATTAAATAACTGGTATACGTATAGGATGTTTTTACCTACAAGAAATTCAGCGCGTTTGTAATCGTACCTACGCGTCAATGCTCATCGTAAGTGTATATTTGTATTGTGGGAATTATATTGCAGGTTCATTACGGGGTAAAATTGGGGTAAATTTCAAAATTTCAAAATATTTTTTAAAATATTTTTTGACATATGCGCTTAGAACTTAGAACATCCTTCTTTAATCTATATTTATCCAAATCAGAAATGAACAATAGGTGACATGAATAGTAATTCATAATTTAAGTTTGCTAATATGATGAATATAGTTCGCTCGAAAAATAGTTCCAAGAATCTAGTTTCCTATTTTATACTCATTATAAAGTTAGCGAAAAAGACAAAGGAATCCCCCTACATAATGGCTATGTGTTTTTCAGTTTAATGTTTTCAGCTTTTCATTGTTAACCAAAGTTTTAGTATTTAACATATTGATCATCATTCACTATCATTCACTATCATTCACTATCATTCACTAATGTTTACACGTTCTTTTATCGTTCTTTACGATTCACACAATCCACATCCCTACAATTCACACTTCGAAATTCTGTAACTATTGATTAAAAAATCGAGTGAATATGAATATATCTTTACATTGTACCAACTTTGATTTTCGTTAAATTCCTTAAAGAATCAACTGCAGCATTCATTCAAGATTGTTAAATTATAATTAAGTTTTTTAGCTGACATTCTAAACAACAAGAATGATTCGTCACTTCGTATTAACATATACCGCATACATTCTAATAATCTTGCATATTTTAATATCCAATAATAATTTATTAGTAATATGTATGCGAATCAGTCACTCACTACCATAATCATTTTTTTTGTGTGATAATAAAATACCAAATCTTAAATATCACCAATATATAATTTAATTTATTTTACATATTTGTATAAAAAAAAAAGGTTTCTTGGTTGTTTCTTGTTTTTTTTTTCGGATACGTCAGTCTTCAAGACAGCCGTTTTCTATATTTAAGAATTTCGATCCTTACTTTCGAAATCCTATATATATATCTTCTCTCATCTTTACTTTTTTTCTTTCGTTTTTTTTGTTTTTTTTTGCATATATATATATTTTTTCTCGTACGTAGCATTTTCTTCTTATTACAATTTATATACCGAATCTTTTCCTTTTATGTCTGGATGCGCAAAACGCTAATATTTAAAGAACGTTACGTTTACTACTTATCACGGTAAGAATTCAAAACTTGGTGTGAAATTGTCATTTCTTTATTTATCTTTTTTTTGGGGCATGTACGTAAGTGAATTTATATTAAGAAAAAATCATGAATAAGCATCTTCGTTAATCCCTGTTTTAATATATCAAAAAAAAAACCAATTCTTCAACCTTAAATCGAAATAATATTGACACTAATAAGAAAATCATCTTCAGATCTCCAAATTCTTTTTATCGACACTTTTATTTCTCTTTAAAAAAAATTAGTTATTCTTTTTTTTTATATAATTTAAATTTCTTTATATAAATGCGTTATTTAACTATCCGTGAAATTTCGTTTTTTTTTTCCTAAAAAAAAACGCCTCGGCGTTTTCTGCCTACGTTTAATTCATCAATATATGTGCAGTCGGCTCTCTTTATAACGAACTTTAAAGTTCTGCATAAATATAATAACCGCCAAAAATTATTATATTATGTTCGTTATATGAAAGAGTTGACTGTATCATATATATGTTATATGTTATGTAACTTCTTTTTATATCATGTCATCACAAGCTCATATTATTAGTTCGGTGAGTTTATGCTAAAATGCTAATGGAGGTCAACCTTATCTCCTGAAGGCAACTAAATATTTTCACTTACTGCATGCACATATGATACAAATTTCACAAACTCTTTCTTTTTTTATACCAATTATAAAATCCACTGACCATTTAAATTTTTTTTTTTTTTTTTTGTATTTATTTCTTTCTTTTTTTTTTAAAACAGCTAGTAATTTCTTCTGGTTCGATTTCAACTCCTTGCTTGGGTTATGTTTTGACTCGTCGTCCTAAACCAAACAGTCTTTCACGAATGTTATTACTTTCGAAATCATTTTTAAATTCATCTAAATATCCACTTGAACGATTTAAATTATTTTGCTCAAAAAACAAAAAAAATAAAAATTTGACCGTTTTAAAAACAAAACCACCTATGATGATTCGTAATTTATCCACTGAAAAGAATACAACAATTTGTTCTGAAGCTACAAGTATCCGCTCTCTTGGTAAAGCCATTCCTGTACAAATTCCTCCAGAAAATTTCAATTCTTCAATTATAAACGCTGAATCCGAAGATGAAGAAGATTGGGATACTAATATTATTGGAACTTATGATTCTCCTCGATCAAAATCTTTACTAATATTGCAACATAATCGTTGTGAATCTGATCCAACCTCTATTCTAAGGAGAGGAAGTCACCGAAGACGTATGTATATTATGTGATAGTTTCATGTGTACTATACTATATTAACAGCTATTAATCTTATTAATTCAATTTTTTTTTTTATAATTTAGCCGCTCCTAGCGAAAGTTGGGATGATGATTTTGATCTGGATAGTAATGAAATAAATGTTCCTTGTTCTGTTAAAGAAGCTCAATCATCTTTGAGAATGGATATGTCTAATATCCGTGATTTTGCTTCTCAAGTTGAAGGTAATAAATACTTTTTATTTTTTAAAATTTTTCTATAAAACATTTCTTTTTCTAATATTAATTATTTTATTGTTTTTTTTTTATTTAATATAATATAGAATTGAAAATATTACATAGTAAAAAATTGGACTTTACGTCAACGATTCACTCCAAGATGGGCAGAAAATGGAAAACTGCTTTTAATCGATCGACAATGAGAAAATATAAGAATCTTGAAAATTTATTCAAGCAAGATTGGGAAGAAGCAAAAGTAATAATTGATCTTTCTGATGTAGCTCAAGATAAACAATCTTCTTCTTCCTCTTCTTCATCTAATGATGAAAATGTTAAAGTTGATATCGAGCGAATACCTTCTGAACGACACGCTCAAGTGTTCAAAAAAATTATTTTAGAGGAATTAGGTGAAGATGCTCGGAACGTAATATTCCTTGATGATGACAAAGAAAATTTTAATGATAATAACTACTCCGATACATCATCGAACAGTGCTGGCCACATTCATAGCGCTAAAAAACAAAAGTTAGCCAATGGTGAGAGCAGTAGTAATAATAAAGGAAGCACAAGACGTAAAGAGAATATTAGAATTAGTCTTGAAATAATGCCAAACTTAATTGATCATTTAAAAAAGTTACAAAATCGATTATCTGATCATATAAATGAATTAAAAACTCTGACAACTAATAAAAAATGAGAATTTCAGATTCTCATTCTAAATATTGGGGCTTTTTTTTTTTTTTTAGAAAAAAAAAAAAAATGAAAAGAGGTACACAATTGCAATAATGAGACAAAATTTTCATTACAATATTTCTTGTAAATTTTTTTCATATTTTTCATATTTTATTTTATTTTTTTTACATCATCATTATTTCACATTATTTTTTACTTATTTCAATGTTACCTCTTTTTGTGGGCCTATGAAGTACGTTAGCGGTGTATGAACTGGTTGAACTGGTTGAACTAGTTATCCATCAATCATGGTTATTTCAGAACGCCCAAAAAATCAAATTTTTTTTTTTCCCCATGTAAAAATTATATACTGTATTATGTTATTATTATCTTCACTAATATATTTGTGCTTCATCCATAAATCACAACATAAATTTTTCTATAGAGTGCTACGTATTAAATTTTTTTTTACTCATGGTAGCATATAGGCATTTGATAGAATATTTGTTGCTTCATCCATAAATTACAACATAAAATTTTTTTCTATAGAGTGCTACGTTTTTACTCATGATAGTTTATAGGCATCTGATAGAATATTTATGCTTCATCTATAAATTACAAAACATAAATTTTTCTATAGAGTGCTACGTATTAAATTTTTTATTCATGATAGTATATACGTAGTAGGCATTTTTGATAGAATAAATTGTGATATATCACTAAGAATCTGCATAAGCTTATAACGATTAATTATTTACATATCGATATACGTACACGATAAATATTTAAATGTGATATTTTGATAAACTTGTACGTATGTACTTATTCAAATCAATAGCCATTATATTGACCACTTTTGTAATAGTTTGAATAAAAGTTTTTAGAAACTTTATAGTTCTAATATGGTTTACCTTGATTCATGAATTTGGTATTGTGGTAATGCACTGTTTTGATCGTTACATCTTAGTAACACAAACAAAGAATACGAGTGGTACTCCAAGAATTTTTTTTTTTGTATTACAAGATTTCTTTAAAATGGTTTGATTTTTTTTTTGCCATGTGAAATTGATATTTCCCCATAAAATGTTATAAAGTTTCCAAAACTTTATAATAAAAGGAAATTCCGCTCAATAAAAGTTACGGTAAAAGTAAATACAGTAATTTTGAAATGAACATTCTTTGTTCTAAAATCACTATTAAGTGTAAATGTTTTTAAAATGCTTATCGTTGTTGTTGTTGTTGTTGTTGTTGTTGTAATAGTTGTAATAACAAAAATAGGAAGTCCATTGTATTTGAAAACAATTGATTTAACAACTTAAATTGTTATACAAGGCGTGTTATATTCCTGTACGTTACATACTTACGTGTCATTCAAATACATTCCTATTCTAGAAAAGCAGGAGGCTTGTTTTTTTTCAATATTTTAATTAGGTATAATAATGCTACACAATTTCCGCGGCAAAATTAGATTGGTCGGTTTGAATCAGTCTGAACCGAGTTGTTTTATTAATGTAAAAATCGTCAGTTTTTGTTAACTCATAGAATTGTTAAAATATGATTATATATTTGAAGAAATCTATATCATTCTCCTCGGCTCTTAATTTACCCGATATATAAAATTCCTCATCCGAGAAAGGGATATCACTGATAATCATTTCTCCGATAGTAGCGTTTTTCCCATTTGATTGAAAAATATTCTCGCGACAAAATTCTACAATAGTCTAGTACAAGTTGAATTAACTAACAATAAATGCTTATAAATGCTTATTATCAATCAAATTACGCATTATCTTCTTGATGCATAACATTTAGAATTTTTAGTAAACTATCAAAATATGTATACGTAAAATAATCAATAAACCCTATTTTAGATTATTGTTAGGAAATATTTGAAAATGTTTTGCAGATAAACCAGGCATCTAGTTGCCCTTAGACATTAATATTTTGCATTATTTTGCCAAAAACCTTTTTTTTTATCTATTAAAATTAGCATCTGGGCACGTCCTTACAAACATACATACGTAAAAGAACTTTATTACATATGTATGATATATAGAAAATCATTACCAGTATTTTTTACTACGTACGTATGAATTTATTACATACGTATACGTATAACAGTTTGTATATATATTAGGTTTATACGTAGTGCGAAGTGACCCAGATCGTGGTGCCTCGAATATGACCAATCAGAGTATTTAAAGTACACGATAGACTTGATTATATTGGTTTAATAAAAACTATGTATATATTTATTATTAAGTCCTCGTGGTATACGTAGTAGGTAGCATGTCTTATATAATAATAATAAACAGTTCTCCGGTTAGCATTAAGGGGCTGGAATAATGGTACTGCGTCAGAGTTTCTTTTTTTTTAATTGAACTTCTATTTATTTTCTGGATGTGACAAATACAAATTCCTGAAAAGAGAGTAGGGTTAGGGTTAAAGCAAGGCTTATTGTCCGGAGCGAAGCGGAGGACTGTTTTTACGACAACAAAGTGATCATTAGTATCACGTGCTCATACGCAATACTGATCGACGTGGAGAACCCAGTAAAAATAAGAATTTTCAAAACTTTGAGCGAAGATATCTCAACAACTATCTGACCAAATCCAATAAATCCTTTTTTATTTTAAATTATATTGATCCATAAAATTTAAATAAAAATTTTAACCGAATTTAGTCAATTAATTGTCGAGATATCTTCGCTCAAAGTTAAAAATAAAAGGTGCGCCAAATTTTTTCTCTAACTTTGAGCAAAGATATCTCTGACCAAATTCGATGACTTTTTTTTTGACTTTTTTTATTTGAATTCTATGAATCAATAGAATTCAAATAAAAAAACGTTTTATCGAATTTGGTCGGATGGATATTGAGATATCGTCGATCATTATCAAAAAAAAAGTATCAAAAATGAAAGTTTTGCAGATCGGACACTAGACTGATCTTTCGATCTAATTGGCTACAACACGTGACGGGGAATTTTCGCGACTAGTAGTTATATATAAAAAACCTACTAAATTCGCGTAAAAAAACTTGTTATTCTTTTGCTTATCTTAATTTGTACAATGGAAAAATTCAGTAGAGCACGAAGGGACTAGCTGGCAAAAACTAGGTAGGCATATTTTTTTGATTAGTTAGACCCCTTTAAGTTATTATTTTACTGAGTGTCTTGGTGATTGCGCGAAGGCACACTAGATTCTCAATGATGGTAGTTAGTAATTTAAAGCGGTTTCTTGCCGAATGAGGACTATTAACTCGGGAGAAAGAGTTGGTCACGGTATTCCTGTCGTTGAGGAAATTTTGTCTAATGAAAAAAAAATATTACTATTAATTTAACCTGGGGTTTTTAATGATTGTTACTCTATTAATAATAATATAATCGCGAGTATTATTATTAAAAGATGAGTTGACAGGGCGCCCCATTAGTGGCCACAGTTTACTTACAAATAAATTTTTTTTAGGGTTCAAATAATAGTTCAAGTTCCAATAACATTTCAAGCTCTAAAAGGGAACAGGACAAAACTACAAGAGCTCATAGACTTTGGTATTGAAGAAAACTTGGATATTATAGGGATAACAAAAACAAATACGAATGCAAGAGAAGCAGTTATTTTTCCAATAATCGTTCAAGTTCCAATAACATTTCAAGCTCCAATAATCGTTTAAGTTCTAATAACATTTCAAGTTCTAATAACATTTCAAGTTCCAATAATCGTTCAAGCTCCAATAATAGTTCAAGTCCCAATAATAGTTCAAGTCCCAATAATAGCTCAAGTTTAAATGTCGGAATAACAGTATATTCAATGGTGGTTTGGTTTTTTTCTTTTTACTAATATATTTTACTAATACATATATATATATTAAATATTATAGCAACCAATTAATAATATTAGCACTATGTGTGACATATCTATATCCGCGATTGAGATGTGCAAGAAATTCGAAGAGGAAAAAAAAAGGTATTAAATTTGTATAATTGTAAATAGTTATATAGATGTGATGGATACTAACATTAAGTAATTATTATTTCAGATTTAAAAAGTAAGGTTCGACTTTATATCAGAGGGAATAGTGAAGCTAACGATTCATTTATTCGTGATAATTCATGACTAAAGTTTAAGACTAAAGTTTTACATTATAGTGAATATAATAAAATATTATACGTATCAAATTTCTGTGCCTGTGAGTTTTTTTAAATTTTCGTGCCTATGCCCATTCCTAAATTTTTTTGGTGGGCATTTAAAAGTTTGCAGTTAGACGGCAACTATAATTACAATTTCATTGGTGATGGTGTGAGAAAGATATCTTGAATTACAAGATTTTTCAATACACAGATAATAGATGTTGAGTCAAAAAGTTGCCTACTTTAAAAAATTTTTTAAAAGCTATCTTATTTAAAAATTTAAAGCTAGTAGTAATATCAAAAGATTATCTTCCTAAATTATATATCAAATGTCGATATATAATTTTCGGTATAATATAACTTAACTAACACCTAAACTAACAAACTGAAAATTTTTTTTTTTCTTTATATCCGTCTATCTAATCTACCTAGTATAACCTAATCCAGCAAGCTATCTTTATAAATTAAATAAATTCTTAGATGTTAATCTGTTAATATTCTAAAAGAATATAATGGATATTAGATATTACAATAGCATTTGTTTTCTCGTATGAAAAATATCTTAGATTATTCCCAGTGAGATGTTTTTTTTTTTTTATAATGTTTATGCTGTTTTATATATATTGTTTATATTACGGGAATTTTGTGACATAATAAAATTGGTTCAAAGTGAATACCAGACAAAAAACAGATAAAGTTGGTAAAATAAACAAATCAAAATTTACGTGCGTAAATTCTGTGATTTCGAGAGAATGCTTTATAATTAGTCATTTCATCGCCAAGTGACTTTAGAATATTTGTATATTCTTCATGACTAACATTCATTATTGTTGATAATTCAGCAGAAAGTCCACTTAACGCTCCAACCTATAAAAAAAAATTACCCATAAATGTTCATAAATGTTAAGAAAAAATACATGAATTTGATAATAATAAATAATAATAAATAATGAGACATACCAAACATTCTTCATTAGCAATTTCACCTAACCTGTAATAACGATAATAATTAGTATATAAATTTGAATGTATTCGTAAAACGAAAGAAACAAACCCAACCTTCCAGCCCAGCTTCCAAAAGGTAGTTCTCTATACTCGTCTTGAAGATTGGTTAGAGAGGAATGATTCTTCATTATATTGTGAATTAAAGGTGTTACAATACTAACTGCACCTCTTGATTCAGTCATTTTACGTACTAAAAAAAATAATTAATATATTGGGATTAATACAAATTGACAATATAAACACAGTAAAAAATGTTAATATTTACAAGCCATGGTTAATTTTTTTGACATTGGACCGTCATTAAACCATCGAAAATCTGTTTCGCATCTATTGTTGTTTTCGTTAGGTCCAATATAATAAAAAAGATAATGGTAACAGACATGTGATCTCTTACAATTCTATCCAGCCACTAGGTTTCGTTACTCTAACTAATTCAGATATGACAGTTTCCCATTCACTTTCTGAAAAGGAACTAACCAGAAGTCTCATGTGAACAAAATCGAAGAAATTATCAGGAAATGGTATACCATTAAGAACATTTCCTTGAATAAATGTGGTATTTGGTGGTTTTATCTAAAAAATAATTGAGCCATTTAAAGCTTGGTTCACTAAAATTTAAGGGATTTTAAAACTCTCTAAAATACCTGAGATGGAAATGTTGCTATTAAATCAATTCCGGTGAAATTTGAACGCGGATAGTCATGGGCTAATTCCATTAGCCATGCTCCGGGCCCGCAACTGAGTCAATAAAAAAGCAAAATTTTGCATAAGTACGATAAATACTTTTTTCTTTAAAAAAAAAAAAAACATACCCAACATCTAAAACTTCACATTTTTTTTCTCGTAATATTTCATCGGTTGGAGCCGAAAAATTAGATTCCCAAAGATACCGGAATAAAAAATGTTGACGTTGTAGCCGATCAAGCTCTTCGTCATCATCTGGCATCGGATACCTTGTATTTTCGATATTTTGAAATCGGCGACCATCGGCATAACGATAAGAAGTGGTGGATGGTTTTGTCGTTAAACAAACAGAATTTTTCGATTGAGGATTGCCCATGATCAAAAAACGAAAGGAAGGTGATGTTAAAAAAAAAAAAGAAAAAAAAAAAAAAAAAAGAAAATAAATAAATAAGAGAAAAAAAAAATTAAAAATATGAAATGATGCGAAATGTGAAAGTTAAAAATATTTAAGGAATTGTGAAAATTTTTTTTTTTTGAGCTGCAAGTACTATTATTTAGAATAACTGATCACGGCAGTTTGCTTAACAACCATTCATTAATGGAAGAAAAGTTCGTTACATGTTTAAATTTACCCGCGTCAATATTTACTGTAAGGGATTCGAAATTTTTAATGGTTGTAAATATGTAAATAAAGCCAGAGTTTTTAGTGACCATGATATATATTTAAACAATAAATAAAAATAAAAATAAAAAAAACAGTACTTCTTACCTTTAAACATGCTTTAACATGATGTATACAATTTTTTTTTCACGATCTTTAATATTGTCGTTTATTTCGGAAACAATTAATTGTTCCTCAATATCCGCAGAATTTGCATATTTCTGCTATTTTCATATCCACTAGATATCGAACATAATTGCATCATGCATTTCTGCATTTCATTTCTTTTATTCTCTTCGTTCGTGTTATTATTAAATTATTTACAGTAAGCTTTTAACATTCGGTAAATTTCAACTTCAAGCCACATGGTCACACATTGTTTTTAACAAAGTATTACTAGAAAAACAGTGAAAAAACAACAAATTAAACCATTAATTTAACGAGATACAACATAAACATCGTAGTTCTTGGATAAACAAAGTACCCCATTTAATCCATGAGAAAGATCCCGGAACAGTATTTACGATCTTTTTCTTTGAGAAAAGAAAAAAAAACAAACCAGAATTTTCTTCAAAAAAAAATAAAAAATAAAAAACTGCATTAATGTTTATGCGTGATGTTAAATGTTTGTTACAAAGTTAATTTGATGTGATGCTAATTAATTATTATTTTCAAAGACTTTATTTGAAATTTAAAGATGTATTAGCACGCAAAAATATTAATAATTAATATAACTTTATTTTATGTTTATTTATTCCATTTTCTTTGATAACGTGGAAGGTTCGATTGTAAAGTTGATCTTAATGAACTACTTACTTATTTTGATTATGTGTGTTGTTTATTATTATTAGCGTTATTTATGCTAGATGAGATTCAATGCATTATAAATGAGAAAAAATGTGTGTAATGGATTAAGAAAAATCCGATGCTGTAATTTACTTGTAATTCAGTTTCGATAAACATTCTAATTTTGGATTCTTATAGAACGCGTACGTACAGTACGTATCGCGCCGTTTATAACGCATTCTTAATACACTTCGCTGACGGTTTTTTCTTAAACAAGAATGAATAAATAAAATCCTTTTCATACTTTTCAGGAAATTATTGTTTCTTCATTTTTTATCACATTAAATGAAATGCATATAATATTAATTAATTAAGCAGCTTTTGAAATATCAATTTCCTTAATGATAATGGATTACCAATCGATATGTTTTTTTTACTGCATTCTCTCGGCCGTTTCTAGTTCATGTGGATTCGACATCGTCTACAAACTTAACACATTCAATTTAGTGCTGTCTGCTAACACGTTTAGCAAGGTACACACTATCGATTTCTTACGTTTATTAGCCATCACTATGTTCATCTATTGCAGTATTGTAGGCAATTTAAGGAAATTTTGGTTTATGAAAAATTGTTAGCTAAAATGTTTTAATCTGACTATTGACAACACTATTGCCGTCATTTAATTGGTACAGTCTGGTCTGGTCTATTTTGGTCCAGCCCCTAAGTCTGAGACCAGACCATAACATCCCTAGCCGGCAAAGCATTTCGCTAAAATTATCAATCATCATAGAAACAAATCATTTCTAGTTTTTGACTAAGTATATCCTCTAACGCAATTTTATAAATCTTTTTTTTTTTTTTTTACTGATAAATACCAAATCATTTATTAATTAAGTTTTTTTTGTCTAAAAATTTTTTCCCCACGTATTATCATCGTACTAAGCAAAAAAGCAAATCTAACAAAAGTAGATCTAATACTATCTAAGTTTCATAAATATAAGATAACATGCCTGCAAATTAAAAAAAAAATTGAGCAAAGGAACATGATTAAAGCATAATAACATAACAATACTTATAAAAAGCCTACATGGACTATGGGTAATTGTACTGCGCTTTCTTCTTCATCTACGACACATCGTTCTTCTGTATAATCTTCAAATGAACAAATCTTTTTCTTATCTTTTGCGTAACCGTCCGGTACAGTGATCACAAGTTCCTTTAGTGGCATTTTATCTTCTCCAACGGCATTATTCACATCTTCCATAAAAAGCATACTGAGAGGCCATAATTTATTGTCTGATGTTCGAACATCCTGCCCTCCTATCACGAGGAATCCGGAAGGAGGTAATCGATCATATGCTTCACGAGCTAAACGTTTGATTGTTGCACGATAGTAGGGAATCATTTGTGAATTGAGATTATTATTGGAAATATGCGGTATCACGATCAACGCAGTTGGCGTTGGTGGGGGTAGTGGTTTGCTGTTAAGTAACTTTTCAAGATGAGATATGTCGTCCGACTCTTCTCCAAGGTCACATTTCAGTCCCTAAAGATTAAATATAATATCTAAATACAATAAACAAAAAAATAAATAAACAAAAAAAAAAGTTCCATATTTATCTGAAGCTAACCAATGAAAGTAGCATTTTCTGATTCTCTTGAATTTGCTTTTGTCTAATTCGTTCGTATTCTGGAATATCATCGTCTGATTCATTATCTATGTCTATAAAAAGCCATTAAAGTCATTTATTGAATTGAAAAAATTTTTTATACCAAAAATATTAGTAAAAATAATAATCCAACCTTCTTTATTTATTTGTTCTTTATTTTCATAAGCACTATTATTATTGTACTGCGAAAATGTAAATATTAAGATCTTTAACTAGGTTTCTTAAAAATAGTAAAGTTTTATGATAAAGTACCTCTATGTTTTTGAATTCTATCGATATTTCTTCATAATTAGCATAATCTCTACCAAATCTTTCAACCTAAACATCGTTAAAAAGGATTAAATTAAATAAAGAAAAACATTAAAAATAAAATAAAGAAAAATGATCAATCAAAACATTACCATTCTTGAAGCACAAAGTTGCACAAAACTGTGTTTAGACGTAGGCTTAAATGTCCATGTTGTACCCATGACAACACTCTTGCGTGCGATAGGAAGAATAGGAATTTCTCTTAATTTACTTGAATATGTTACGTATTCGTCTAACTCAGAATCGTCTAAAAAGTTAAGCAATTGATTGTTCGTAAATATAGAAAGACTATATATTAAGATACAAAAAAATTTAAAAACATACCAGGCATGCTTAACATAAGATCATTTTTTTCTTTATCAACTTTCTTGAAAGTAGCGATAAATTCATGCGTAAACATTAAGAAATCGTATTGCACACAAAGATAGGTACCCAATCCAAAGGCCTGGCAATATCTCTGCCTTTTTGCAACCTGCATGTATCAGCGCAAATTAATAATAAATAAGCAGTTATATTTGAACGTATTTAGTAAAATATGAAAACTTGCCAGTTCTTCCAATTCGAATCCTTGATCTATATACTGACGGAACAAATTAAAGCTAACCGGGACATAAAAGCAATGTTCTCGATTGTCTCCAATACCAAGCGTAATTCTTTTGCCCGGTTTCAATAATCTAAACCATAAATAGTTAAAACTTGTATAGGGGAAATAAAAAAAAAATTTTAAACTTTAGAATTACCTCCAAGTTTCGTCAATAACTTTACTCATTTCTATTGCAAATTCTTTAGAATTTGCATATCTCGATAAATCTCCGTCAATATGAGTTGAATATTCGACGCTATTAATAGAAAAAAATTAAAATACAATCTACCAAATTCATTATTAAAATTGGGACTAGCAATACCAGTTTTTATAAGGGGGATGGCTTAAAACGTGGTCAAAAGATTCATCTTCAAAAATTGTTCCTGTCAAATGCCTGGAGTCTGCTTGAAGAATAATAGGTCGATGCTCTGCTGTGATACCTCGATCTGGTGGAATAGCGAATGAACAATTTCGTTGTGATAGAGCTACTGCAGCCTGAAAGAACGCACAATTGGTTATTTTAAGTTTATACCAAAATTTTTAAAAATATAAATGACATTAAAACATACTGGATTGATATCTACACCCACGAGCCTTTAAGAGTAATGCGCATTAACAATTATTATTTTGGAATTATAAGCTGGGTTAACAATGTGCAAAAAATTTACCTTCTACAAAGCAGAAAACTTTCAATTGCATCCGTTCCTAGAAATGAAAATAATTAAATATCAACAAATATATTTCAACAAATATTCATAATATATTATTAACTCACCTCTTCCAAGAAAATTTGACATAACCCGATCATTCTTCTTTGTAAAACGAAGCAAGGCACTAGAGACGAACAAAGAATTATTTTCTATCAATAAAGAAGAATGCTACCACCATTTATTCATATCAATTCATCTAAAATATACCGTCGAACAGTTTGCGGCAACCAAGTCCCATGATAATCAGTACCACTATGCGTTGCCCCTATTGAACGATGTTTATATATATTAATAATTCTTATGAAATAAAATCATTCTAAAAAGTGACATTTATTACATCTTGGAGCTCTTCCGGGAATATCAAAGTACGAACTGTCAAAAGGCAGCGAAAATAGTTGATTTTCTGCAGGCTCATACGTGTCTAAATATATTGTCTGCGATTCCGAATAATCAAATTTCTTGTCCGAACATGAATTTCTTGTTAGATATGGACGATATGAATAATCTTCACTGGTAACCATCAGCTTATTTGTTTCTAAATGAGATTCTCCAGTAGTATTGTTGACTAATACTAATTCAAAACAATCTTCACACATTAACACTCCGTCATATCCTAACAATAAATGAATACCAAAAATATGAATATCCATCAAAATTTATAGCTAGTCACTATTAAAATTTTTCTACCTTTACGCCAACGAGGAGATTCATCAGCCCAGCAATAAGAACACTGTAATTGTCCCTTTCCGTGATTAGGTGGATAATTTTTAGATTTCTTGCGCATTCCTATAGATGTGTCAAAAAAAAGTCAATATTCTTGTAATAAATATATTACATATTAAATTTGTCTACTTTACCAGACTCACGAGCTTTTTGATTAGCAAGAGCTATTTCCGTTTGTTTTGTAATTTGTTGATCTTTTATCTGCTTGACAGCTTATAAATTTTATCTATAAGTTACGTATGTTTACTCATTTAAGTCGATGCTAAACAAAAATTCTTTTATAATACTTACACGTTTCATCAAAATCTTCTCTATTATGTTCATGTGCCTCTGGGAATTTCTCGGTAAAACACTAGATTGGTTTAAAATTGTAATATTCATTAGATTTTGATAGAATCGGCTGATATTAAGGTTATTAATGCTCCATTAATACCTGCGGGCATAAATCAAAAGAAGAAAAAAAGTTGGATTCGCATGGTTTGCAAGTCCACCATTTGTCAGCCTGTAATTCACAGGAACAAACATCGCATCTATATATCTCATTATACATTTCTTTACGGGCAAAAGGAAAAAGTAAATTTTTTAATTAGAAATTAAAAAATAAAAATTAATGATTTAATTTTTACACACCTTTTTTGAGATAGCGTGATTCATGAATAGGACAGTAAAAAATAACACCCATCTCAAAATGAGAAAGTGGCTTATCGGTGCACGGCAAGTGAAAGCTTTTTGTACATTTCGGTTCGAAGCATCCAATAGTTGCACCTCGCTCTTTACACTTTCCGCATTTCTGCATTATTTAAAACATTCAAATTAATATAATTAATCCGATTTTTTTAAAATTATTACAATTCAAATTATCTGTCAACACACCATGCTTCGACCTCTTTTCCATGCTAAGGTCACATTATACCACTCATTTGACTTGGAAAGAAAAACCTCCGGTGAATACTTTGCACAAGCCTCATGAACCCAGAAAATCTTTTGTTTTTCACCATGACGCGTATAAGTATTGGTTACAAAAGGTTGTGGCCCTATGAAACCGTCAAGCTGCTGACCATCATCATCATTGCAAAAACCACAGATCTTACGCGAGTTCCACGCTTGCAAATAAAGGTATCCCATGCCACTATCCAATTGCACATTTTCGTTCACCAGGTCAATGCCTGGGTCTTTATAGGTTGTGTCAAAAACGTCTTTATCAAATGTTTTGATGACTTCACCTTTTGAAGACATTTTAATTGCTTCATCATCAATCACCGATTGACATGCAAAAGAACATCGTGGATGTTCATGATAACTTGGAAATTGATGAGCATAACACCTTATATAAGGCGAAATTTTACAATTCAGTTAATCCATTATCTCTGATTTTGCTTAAAAACAGCTTAAACACATGTCTTAGAACACGTCTTACCATACACATAATTCGAAACTTTTATAATCATTCCCTTCTGACGGCGTTTCGCAATAAGTGCAATAATATCTATAAAAAAATCGTAACTCAAAAATGAATATAAATATATACTGTATATTTCTTTTGGATAAAAGAAATAACTAAGCTATATACCGTAGTGCACCGCCTAAAAGGCCCGGGTCTAGTACAAAATAAAATGCCCACTAAAAAAAACTTTACAAAATACCCAGCATCTTATCTGGGTATGAATATATGTAATGCAGAAATTAATGTGGTAACACGAAAAATAGCAAAAATATCCGGATATTACTATCGGTAAAAATATACTATGTAAAAATACTCCAGGTATCTTGCATAGGGGATACTGAAAAAGGGATTTTAGGCAGTGCACTATGATATATACGTTTACTTTCTATAATATATGTACCTAAATTGTTTTATAATTACGTTACATTGATTGCAATATATGCACCATTTTTGTTTCGCTATTAATGTAAAAAATAAAGATATTATTAATTAATTGTGTCTTTGCATTGCAAGATTTAATTAAATAGCTACCTGTCATATCTAAAGGTAGAGTGTTAATATCTATGAATTCCAAAGAATCATCAACAGCCTCTAATTTATTCTTCTTTTTACGGTCGTCTTTTTTTTGCTTGTCCTTATTGTCTTGACCAACCACACACGTTTCATTAGCCTTTACAGGTTTCATGCGCAATCTTTCGCTACTAATGTCTATCCATTCGTCATAAAAAGCCGGGACATCATCATAATGAATTAGGACGCGACAGCCTTTCGATTCAACTATTGTTGCCGGTACCCATTCTCTTAACCTATCGCGTACTTCTATCTGATTTCCTGGTTTGAATCGTGCCTTTAATTGAGTAAGTATGTTTGAATTACTCAAAAGTTTATCATTACGTATACTGCGACGTGTATTACGCCCAATATAAAAGTCATTCCAGTCAAATGAAGCTAAAGAATCGGTAGATTCACTTTGCTGACTTCGGATATCAGAATCGCCATCATATTGATAATCTCTCTTTTTAGATTGAATGTTTTTCGATTGCGAAGAACTATTTTTTGAAGAACTCGAAACTGACGAAGATTTGTTCTGGCCTTTGACACGTATTCTACTTTTGTTATGGGGTATTAACATTGATTCATTTTCATCAAATATTTCTATACTTTCATCTTCCAAAGCCTTTTGTGCCTCTAATATTTCATCTAACGTCATATCTTTCATTCTTTGACTTCCTGCTGGTACCCATTCATCAAACTTATCACTCCAACCATCAAAATGCACACGAATACGCCCATTTGCAACATCAACCTGCGTGGCCGGATACCATTTACTATCACGACCTAGGATTTTAACACGTTTTTGAGGTTGAAACCCGTATTGTCCAGCACGCCTAAAACGAATCGTGTTATCGTCATCAAAAAGCGTTCGACAATAAGAGCATAAATCAAGGCTGCCGACTCTTTGAACGTTTACATGCATAATTTTGCAAGATTCACATAGTGACTCTTTTGGTTGAGAAGGCTTTGGCTCAGGAACACTTTGCCGACTTAATGTTACATTTTTGCGATAACTAGTCCTGCGTCTTAATCGTGCAGAATCAATACTATTGCCAACAGTGTTATATTCGGAATCGCTTTCGTCACTTAGAGTTGTTAACTCAGATTCAGGGCTGTTACTACTAGAACCAGCATCTGATTCTGAATCTGTATCGGGACAACTGCTGAGTGATCCTGAATCTGAACCATCAATTATAGAAAGCATAGAACGACTCTTGTCATTATCATTATTTAGGTTATTACTATTATTATTATTATTATTATTATTATTAATATTATTAATATTATTATTATTATTATTATTATTATTAGTATTATTATAATCATTACTATTATGATTATTATTATTATGACTATTATTATTATTATTAGCTTCAATGTCAATATTTCTCTCTGAGCTACTTTCAGATTTTGAATCCTCTTGCAAATCTGTTGACGCTACTCCAATGTCAGAATTGTCCTTTTTAATTGGTTCAGATAAGCAATCTGGATTATTGTCAGCCGTATGCACTTTTAATCTTCGGCTATCAACAGAAATCCATTCATCAAACTCTCTTCCCCAACCATCAAAGTGAACTTTCACATGAGTTTTTTCGACTATGACAATCTTAGCAGGGTACCAAACTTTATCTATATTTAGTACCTCCACTTTTTGATTTAGTTTAAAATTGTGTGGAAATGCTTTTGCTCTAGCTACCTGAGAAGTAAACAGTGGCACGCAAGTTGAACATAGCTCAAGTGCCCCTATGGTCTCTAAATCCTTAGATTTGTCACCACACGATTCGCATTTATTGACTTTTGCATCCTTTGTATTCACCCAAGAAATTTTCTGTTTACGAACATAACTTTGCCTAGATCTGGATTGCGGCTTTGGTGAATCACGTTCTTTTCCTTCTTTACTGGTCACATTCAATGGCTTTTTTACAACACGCTTCTGCTTAGATAATAATGGTTTAATAGAATCATCAGATCCAAGTCTTTCCGTGTCAGTTGAATCTTGAGGTTGCTTCTTTAATTTATTGAATTTTTCGCCAAAATTGTCAATTTTATAATTGGCATTATCTTTGTCGAGAGATTTTTCTACCTCAAGGAATTCCTTGTCATTCATTACAGTTTGTTTATATTGAATTTCTTTTGTTTCTATAGTTGCCGTGTCAGTTGAATCTTGAGGCTGCTTCTTTAATTTATTGAATTTTTCGTTAAAATTGTCAATTTTATAATTGGCATTATCTTTGTCGAGAGATTTTTTTATCTCAGGGACTTCCTTGTCATTCATTACAGTTTGTTTATATTGAATTTCTTTTGTTTCTATAGCTGTCGTGTCAGTTGAATCTTGAGGCTGCTTCTTTAATTTATTGAATTTTTCGCTAGAGTTGTCAATTTTATAATTGGCATTATCTTTGTCGAGAGATTTTTCTATCTCAGGGACTTCCTTGTCATTCGTTACAGTTTGTTTATATTGAATTTCTTTTGTTTCCATAGTTGTCGTGTCAGTTGAATCTTCAGGTTGCTTCTTTAATTTATTGAATTTTTCGCTAGAATTGTCAATTTTATAATTGGCATTATCTTTTTCGAGAGATTTTTCTATCACAGGGTCTTCCTTGTCATTCATTACAGTTTGTTTATATTGTATTTCTTTTATTTCCATAGTTGTCGTATCATTCTTTTCAGATATACACTCAAATGAACTGAATTGTTTCAAACTTTCGTTATCTGATACGTTTCCTTGCTTATAATCAATACCATAAGTAAAACCAAGTCCAATGGCATTATCTACTGGCTTTATCGATTGATCGGTGATTGATTGCGCGTCGAAACTACTATTCTCTGTTCCTTTTTCATCATCAACTATCAATTCGGTATGTCCAAGCTGTGTATCAACAGCCATTATATTGAGATCGACACCCGCTTGTGTAGCTTCCGTATTTTTATTTGTATCTAACTTAATTTTCTAAGATGGGTTAATATATGTTAATATTCCTGCCTATTATTGAAAATAAGATGATTCGCAGTATATATATTACCCTTACCTTAGCAGACACTTCAAGATGATCATCATGAACGCGCGACTCACGAATTCGACATTTATCAATGTTGAGCTTTGAAAGACCAATGCTACTTACAAGTTTAAATTCTATTTTTTTACCGGTTGTTTTTTTCTTAAAGAGTTGAAGACCGGCATTAACCCCTGTTCTTGGATTTAATGGCTCGTCATTGACATTTACTTGGCAAATTACATTATTTTGGTTGTGCTTTTTTGTCTCTTCCGTTTTTGGTTTCTTGCTACGAGGAAATACCAGTACTGGTTGCTTCTTATCAGAATTAACTGGGTTCTTGACGATTTTCTTTTTAGTATCATCAACTTTAACGATACGTTCTTGACTATATTTAGTATTACTAGTACTTGGCGCAGCAGGCTTCTCGATTACTATCTATACGGAAGAGCATAAATATTTTACGTTTATTTAGTAATTATATTTATTTTAAACGGGTTTTCTACATCATACTTACTTGAGAAGACGATGTGTTAAAGGAACGTCGCAGATCATATTGGCTTGCCGTAATCCTATGTGTCGATTGATAACCATATTGAGACATATAATGACGTGAGAATTGATTATGATTTATGGATGATGAACTTTCTGGAGTAAAAGGTACGCGGAAATATTCTTGGCGGCTCCCAAACTCTTCGTATGGCATGCCGTTGTCAGTTCCGTCTAGAGACTGAAAATAAGTTTTAAATGTTATTAATGGAATTCTTATTATAAGAAGTACGATAAAAAAATACCGTTGAAATATGAGATCGCCAAGGTGGCGTACGCTCAGGTGCGTTTGACGTGTGCCACGGCAGAGGAACTGAATTGACAGATGACGTCATTTGAGGCGATGCTAGATAATTGACGTTTAATGGTCCGCCTGCTGATGATTCGTCATGGCTATAAACGTTGTGAGGTCGCCTAGAACCAGTCCAATTTTTTAATGATCCACGTTTGTGTTTATTGTATTTTCCGCGTGAAGTTTTTTGCTGTTTAGGTTGTTGGCAAAAGCTCTGTTGGCCATGTTGGAAAGAGGTTGAAATTGGTAAGCACGGAGGCGGCGCATTAGGAAGGGGTGGCGCATAATCGCTCTGAGATACACCTTTATATTAAAATGCGTTAAAAGAATGCAAAAGATTTATAGAAATTTACAGCAAATGATTCCAATAAAATTTTGCAATTTGCATAGCTAATGATTAAATACTCACCTGGAGGAAGCTCAGTTTCTTGAAAGGACCAATCAAAGGAAAAGTGGTTTAACTCAACATTTGAACCATAATTTTCAGAGGAAGGGGGATACATATTCTTTATAATAACGTTTTTAGCACCCTAGAACAAACTAAGCATAAGGTTCAATATGTTGGTATAACAGATATAATTTATTTTAGCACGTGAGCTACTATCTATGCCCTTAGTATACTTAATGGCTACACTTCAAAGAGTTACGCGTCAGAATGCATAAAATAATTTTGAGTTATAAGACAGTCTTATTTAATAACCTGAAGAAAGTCAATATTATAGGCAAGCGCTCTTTTCTAACCCACAGAAAAAAATTTTCTTATTAGCTTTTTTTCCTGTCAGACTATGCAATTTCGACTTAAGACAGCACGAGAAATTGCACGAAGGGACTTGGAAAGTCGATGATTGCATCCTATAATCAAATCGCTTTTAAAAAACTGCCGGGAAAATGTCGTGTAACGCAAATATTTCACTTTAAGGCTTCTCTTCACACGTATTATGCGTTGATTTACCATAATGATTTGTAACAATAGAAAGCCACGAGCCACTAGGAAGATGGCGATCTGATGAATTATAATTCTCGATCGTAGATCATTCATTTAAATGCTATTAAATGCTACCACTATCTAACAGGAGAAACCGTCCAAATATAGATATGATTTTCATTCTCCGTTACACAGATCACTCATTGTATCGACCAGTCAA